CGGACGTAACGTGGAGGAGGAAGAGGTGGGTGACGAAGAGGACAAGTCCAAGCTGGTGACCACAGGTGAGCGTGAAAGGGCTGTCCCCCACAGGAGGCTGCCTGCGGCCTCTCTGAATGCTTCCCCTCTCTGTCCCTGGGAGGGAAGGGCTCCGAGAGCTGAGGATTTTTATCCTGGATGCAGGCATGCCAGTGGTCAAGCCCCGACAGCTGATGGTCTCAGAAGACTCGCTGGGCTCCGGGAAGGGCATGGCCCAAGGGCTGAACCGGACATCAGGGGTCAGGCGCTCGTTCCGCAAAACGCCTGAGGTAATGGCCGACCAGGGTGGGGAGGGTCAGGATGGAACTGCTGTTCTGGTGGAACTACAGCCTGAGAGCCAGCTAGCTCTGGGGAGGCTCTGGCTGAGTCCTCAGGGAAGCAAAGGGAAGCGCCCTGGAGGAGTTTGTGTTCAGATGCGGGGGGGGCAGGCGCCTGCTTCCTTGCAGTCCAGAGACTGGCCTTACCAGCAGTGCGTGGCCTTTCCCTGGAGCCCCCTCTGAAACTGCCCTAGATGGAGAGGCATTTCGGGAGCGATGGAGTGAGGGTGAAGATGGTGGGAGCCGAGGCGACCCATCCTCAGCCGTGGAAACTCAAGGGTGACTTTGGGCAGTTGCTCTTCAGCCCATCCTGCCTTACCTGCTTCCCGTGGAGAAATCCAGATGGCAGAGAAGGGGCAGGACTGAGCCGACATGCAGTCGTTTCTCTGTCGAGGCTGCCCTTAACGCAGGCCCGAGGGGCACCGCGCTGGCTCTGTCATGGCCTGGCTTGGACTCTCCAGCGAGCAGCAGCTTTGCCAGATCTTCCCTGGGGGAAATGTGGGGAGCCACTCGGCTGCCCACATGTTCAACGTAGGGCGCAGGCACCCTGCAGGAGACCCGGACTGGCTGTAATGGCCGACCTTCCCTTTTCCCTCAGTACCCCGTGGACGACATTGACAAGATGAAGGAGCGGGCTGCCATGAACAATTCGTTCATCTACATCAAAATCCCACAGGTGCCCCTCTGCGTCAGCTACAAGGTTTGTGGGGGCCCCGTCGGCAGGGGTGCGCTTGTTCAAAGGTCCCAGGGGTGGCATTTGGCCACCCGTGGCGTCCCCCTCCCTCACCCCGCCTTGTGGCTGTGAGCTCCACAGGATGGCCGTGTCGGAAAGCGAACGTGGCTGGGTCGCTGTCCGTGGTGGGGAGCAGGAAAGGGGGGGGGGCTTCTGGCTTCTGAATCCTGCCTTTGCTGCAGGGAGAGAAGAACAGCGTAGACTGGGGGGACCTCAACCTGGTGCTGCCATGTCTCGAATACCACAACAACACGTGGACGTGGCTGGACTTTGCTATGGCTGTGAAGCGGGACAGCCGCAAGGCCCTGGTGGCCCAGGTAAAGGGGGCCGAGGGAGCTGCCGGCCAGTTGTTGCTCGCTGCAGGGGACCAAGGTTTCCATGCAGGGAGATCCGGGGAGGGCTCAGAGCGGAGGATCCCCAGGGGCCATCAGAGCCCATCTGCCAGGTCAGGCATAGACTTGCAGCTGGTACTGCAGGAACCTCCCTCTACTCCATTCCCGGCATTGCCACCTCTGGCAGCTGGCAGCCTTTGCAGGGATGGCGCCATTAACAACAGCTCTGGTACCCTAGACACTTCTGGCTGTGTGGGCTGGGGATTATGGGAGATGCATTCCCTGGGATGGGGAGAAAGCAGGTGAAAGCCTGAAACACTGGCTCAGCTGCCGCCTGCCTGCCTGCCTGCCTGCCTTCCAGGTCATCAAAGAGAAGCTGCGACTGAAGCCGGCCGCAGGCACGGAGTCCCGGGCCAGGCAGGAAAGCAAGCTGGAAGGGCCGGTCCAGCAGCAGGAGGAGGATGAAAAGGCCCGGCTGCTGATCGGCCTGAGCGTCGGCGAGAAGAACCCCAGCAAGAAGTCCATCTTCAGCAGGCGCAAGTGAGGGCGCTGGTCCTGCGCAGGCTGGAGACCGAGGGCGGGCTTGCCCCCGCTGCCGCCCCTGCTGCTAACCCGCTCGGCGGCCAGCCCCGCAAGACCGGCCGCTGGGGGCAGAGGCACGTTTGCCCGGGCCCCAACCGAGACTGGAATGGGCTGCGGGGCCCCAGAGGTGCAGGGCCGAGGCTGCAGAGAGCGAGAGGCATCCTGGGTCGGGCTCCCCTCGTAGGCCAGGCCAGGCCAGGCTGCCCCCTGCGTCGCCCGGTGGGAAAAGGGGAGGGAGAGTTTAAATAACAGAGTTTATCATTTGGCGTCCGTGTCCTGTCGTGATTGCTGTCCTCACCCTGCCTCTGGCAAGGGGGCCGGTCCCTGCCTTGGGCCAGCCCCAGCTCTCCCCGCCCGGGCCTTTGCCTCCTGGGACTGGCTGGCCTCCAGTCCGGAGCCTTGGGCAGCCGTCGGTGGCGTTGGGCTCTCCCCCCAGCCCCGCGGGTCCTAAAGGGATCCGTCCTCCAGCAGGGCTGGAGTGCTAACGTGCCTGGGGGGGCCAGCGCAGCCCAGAGCGGGCTGCAGACCCAGCGTTGCCCTCTGAGGCCGGACTCCTCCTTTCCCCCACCCAACTCTGAAGTCCTCTTGGCGAGTGGCTTCCTGGGGCTATCTGGTGGTTTAATCTGCTAAGCAGAAAATGGCTAGCTCTGAAGCCCCCTTTTCGCCATCAACCAGAGGGCTTCTGGGAATACAGAGTGCTTTTCTGGGTTTTTCTTTAGGGCTGCCAGCTTTTTATGTTTCAGGGCGCTGGACCAAACAGGCTTAGAATTTCTTGTTAGGCAAGTGAGCTGGTATTTTGAAGCTGTGAGCATGGTTGAAACCTCTCCGTCTGAATCTGCCCAGGGTCTCAGTGCGGGGTGGGGGCTTGGGCTCCCCAAGCCCCATCAGTTGAGACTGCCGAAACGTGGCTCTCTCTGAGCTGGAAAACCCTACCGGGCACCCTAAAATAAGCACATACGGTAATAGTGTAAAAACGAAGTAAACTCCCACTGGTCAGCCCCGCCACCCACTTTGCAGCCCCCTCGCGGGTCAAGTGGGGCCCTCGGCCAGGAAAGGGTTTCTGGGCCCGCATCGGCCCTCGGCCGCCTCATTCAGCCGGCTGGGACGGCTGCCTTGCGCGGGAACAGACCCAGCCAGGCCCCGCCCCATGGATTCCTTCTCGGAGCAGCACCCGGCCCGCAGAAACCGCCTTCGCTCGCCTAATGGAAGTGTGGACGGCCCAAGAGGAGCTAAGCTCTCCGGGGGCCTGGCCGCTGGCCCTCCCCCGGGGGCTCTGGGGCTTCCTTGGGCGAGGGGGAGAGCTGAGCGGGGGGCAGCCCGCCCGCAGAAGGGGGCCTTGGCCCACGCAGAGGGCGCTGTGATGCGCAGCTAATTGGGCAGGTCCCGTGACCCCTTTGCGGCAGAACCCTGTGGCAGCCCCCCCAGGCGGCCAGACCCACTGAGCTGGGCGGGACTGCCCGGGGGCTGACGCAGCAGTGCAAGAAACGCACTTTTTTCTTTTTGCACAAACACAACCAAGTTGAGGCCTGGAACTTTCCCACCAGTGGTGCCTTTGAAACTCTCCAGCCAAGCCATCCAGATGTCGGACTGCAGATCCCATCGGCCCCAACCGAGGGCACTGTAGTCCAAGCGACCCGGAGGCACCTCGTGAAAGGAGCAGAAGCGGTTGGAGTCGGCGCCCGCGGGCGGCCGCTTGGGGCTCCGTGTAAGATGCGGGGCGTGGCTCAGCGACCCGTAGCCAATCCCGTGAGAGGTTCGGAAGGCCCCGCCTCCCGGGCTATTGTGGAACCCGCGGAGGAAGCGCGGGAATGCCTTGAATGTCGAGTAGGGCGGGGCCTGCGGAGCGACGGGGCGTGCCGGGCCCGTGGCGTTTGCATAAGAGGCGTGGCCCGGAGCTGCTGGCGGGGGATTAGTGGCGCGGGCTTTACGTAAACGGGATTA